CAGAAGCTTTTCATTTTGATGTAGTCCCAATAGTTTCTTTTTGCTTTTGTTTCCCTTGTCTTAGAAGACATATCTAGAAAGATGTTATTAGGACCAATGTCAGAGAAATTACTGCCTGTGTTCTTTTCTAGAATTTTTATGGTCTCAGGTCTCATGTATTATGTCTTTAATCCATTGTGAGTTTATTTTTGTGTATGGTATAAAAAAGTGACCCAGTCTTATTTTTTTACATATAGCTGTCCAGTTTTCCCACCACTGTTTGTTGAAGAGACTGTCTTTTTCCTATTGCCTATTCTTGCCTTCTTTATTGTAGACTAATTGATCATATAAGTATGGATTTATTTCTGGGTTCTCTACTCTGTTCCATTGATCTATGTGTCCAATTTGTGCCGTACAATACTGTTTCAATTACTACATGTTTGTAGTCTATATTGAAGTTTGGGATTATGATCCCTCCAGTTTTGTTCTTCTTTTTCTTTTTTTTTTTTTTAAATTTTTTTTTTAATTTTTATTTTATGATAGTCACAGAGAGAGAGAGAGAGAGGCAGAGACACAGGCAGAGTGAGAAGCAGGCTCCATGCACCGGGAGCCCGATGTGGGATTCGATCCTGGGTCTCCAGGATCGCACCCTGGGCCAAAGGCAGGCGCCAAACCGCTGCGCCACCCAGGGATCCCTGTTCTTCTTTTTCAAGATTGCTTTGGCTATTCTGAATCTTTTGTGGTTCCATACAAATTTTAGAATTACTTGTTTTAGTTTTGTGAAAAATGCTGTTGGTATTTTAATAAGGACTGCATTTAAATCTGCAGATTTCTTTGAGTAGTATGGACATTTTAACAACATCTGTTCTACCAGTCCATGAGCATGGAATATCTTCCCATTTGCTTGGGTCATCTTCAATTTCTTCATCAATGTTTTATAGTTTTCAGGGTACAGGTCTTTCATTTCCTTGGTTGAGTTTATTCCTAGATCTTTTATTATTTTTGGTGCAATTACAAATGGGATTGTTTTCTTAATTTCTCTTTTTGCCACTCATTATTAGTATATAGAAATGGAACAGATTTATGAATATTGATTTTGTGTCCTGAATTCAATTTATCTATCCTATCTAGTAGTTTTTTTGTTGGAGTCTTTAGGGTTTTCTATTTATAGTATCATGTCATCTACAAATAGTGAAAGTTGTACTTTTTCTTTACCAATTTGAATGCCCTTTTTTTTTCTTGTCCAATTGCTATGGCTAGGACTTCCAGTACTATGTTGAATAAAAGTAGTGAGAGTGGACATCCTTGTTTTGTTCTGATCTTTTGGGAAAAGCTCTCAGTTTTTCCCCATTGAGTATGATTTTAGCTGTGGATTTGCAGAGATTTTAAATCACATGTCCTGGACTACACCGACATACCTGTTGATTCAAAATCTGTAGGTTTTTAACACAGTAAATGAATGATCTTTCCACCATACAGACTTGATCATGTTACTGGTCCTGCTGCTTAAAAATTCCAAGGCAAAAAAAAAAAAAATTCCAAGGCTTCTTACTGTTCCATGAGAAAATGGAAACTTACCACCTGATTTACAAGGCTTTTCCTGAGTTGCCTATTATTTGTCACTCTAGCCTCATGTTTTCCAGCCCATGTATCTACATCTGTTTGGCTTTTGCCTACAGTTTTTCCTTGGCCAAGAACATTCTTACCCTAGCTACCCTCTCTCTCTGGCTCAAGTACTCATTGTGAGATTTTTGGGTCACATACTCTATGAAGCCTTTTCCTTGGCTTATATTCAAGTCACGTGTATTTTTAGATGAAGTTCTTAGCCCCCTCTATCTCCTCCCTCCTAAGGCTTATCATGTCAATGCCTTTCAATTATTTGTTCATATCCTTCTAGACTGTAATCTCTGAGGATGTGATTATATCTCCAATACTGAGCACAGTGCATTGCCCAAAGTAAATGTGCACAAGTATTTATTAAGTGAATGATTCAATTTAACTCTTTTTTTGAACTATGCCACCTGTTGTGGCTCCACCTTTTCTGACTTTTATTCTGCTTCCCACGCCCATTCCCCCACCCCCCCAGCAAAGCCCAGATACCCTCTGTTGACTTTATAAGATGAATCACACACTCACCTGGGCTTTGCAAGTAGCTCTCTGCTGCCCCCATATGTTTTTAATCAGTTCCTTATGCAGCCAGTTGAAACAACCCCTTGCTCCATCTGGTGCAGTTACAGTTCTGCAGGGACATTTTTGTTCTTGGCTTCCATATGCCTCCCTTGGCACAAAGAGGAACTTGAAGATGGAATTAAAGAATGTGACCCCTCTGTGTCTGTTTTTATACCCTAATCTCATATTTATTCTCCTTCATCATCAGAACTAAATAATTGAACAATATTATTTAATCTCTTCTTTCTCTGACCCCTTTCCCTTTTCTAGAGTCCTCTTCAAAGTATTCTTCCCTCTGGGTCCTTTTACATATATTTAAATACAGTGGTCTATTTAGCAGTGCTATAGCACCCTAAGAATTTAACTACTTGCTTTTCATAAAGCTTCTGTGTGAAAACAGTAATTTTTAAGGACAGGAACCTTCTTACATTTTGTATTTCATTCTTTTATATAAAAATTAAGTTTTGGGGTACCTGGGTGGTGTATTCAGTTAAGATTCTTGGTTTTGGCTCAGGTTGTGATCTCAGAGTCCAGGATTAAGCCCTACAAAGGGCTCTGCACTCAGCATGGCGTCTACTCAAGTTTCTCCCTCCCTCTTCATCTACTTCTGCCTCTCCCCTGTGCATGTTCTCTCTCCAATAAATAAATAAGTCTTAAAAAATAAAAAGAAGTTTCTTAAAATGGAGATTAAGGTCATTTTATCCCCAAAATGTAGTATCTTATTTATATAGATTGAATCATATATTTAAAGTAGTTTAAAAATGTATTGTTATTACTTAGCCATTTCATTAACCCATTGATTAAGCAGATACCACAATAATAATGATTGATTTACTGTATTAAACTACTTTAAATAGCAGTGATTTATAGGCAACATTTGCATTCCTTCCAGGATTATTATCATAGCAATTAAAAAGCTTTTAGTAGGTTTATGATGAATAGTGTGGTTCTGAATATATAATGCAGTGTTATATCACCATAGCCTCTTTTTTCTTTGGTAATTAGTGTCTAGGGTAATTAAACTAAGAATGAAATGTGTGGTATATGTAGCATATCACAGTTCATACAACTCAAGCATAAGCACATTTTTAGAGAAAAAAGTTGTTTCATATCAGCAGGAACAAAAGAAACTGTTTTCTTCTAAGAGAATTAAGACACTTTGTCAAGAAGATAGATACCAACAATATTTACATGTTTTTAAACCGCATAGGTTAAACTTTTAAACTGAAATAGCTACCTATTTACATTTCTAAAAGCTCCTTATTTATCTTATCTGCCTGAAAACCATTAACTAATGACAGACCTTATGTTCTTCAGTCTCGGGCCACTTTCCACAGAATGGAGTAATGCCTTGCACAAAGGTGCCTGGCAAAAGGGATAGATAGGAGTGAAATACAGTCCTTTCTTTCCTTGCTAGGTCAGCTGCTACTCTGATTCAGGCTCTATCTCCCAGAGGAAGTGGGCACCTTTTTCTAAACTGCATGAAGATATTGTACAGGATAGTCTGGTACTATATCTATGCTTATGTTCTTTCTGCATGGAAACACAGATGCCTTTCCATTAAATTATTTTCTGACTTTAACATTCTTGCCAATTCTGAACTACTAGTTTCTTCAAAATTAATACTTTCCATTTTTTGTCTTGAAATGAGCACATACATATGTGGCAGAGACAACATGGGAAAAATCTGCAAATTCCAGTCTATTGATGTTTCCATAATAAATTAGTCTTTAGCCATCTTGACTTAGATTAATTTGGAGACAATGAAAGAGCAATAAAAGTGGGAAACCTCAAGAAAGATGAACTTTATAATGGTCCTGTCTTAGGGCTAACTAGTTAGCTCCCTTGTTTAGAATACCATGATAATGAGCCAGGTTTATGATTTCAAACCCATAGTTAGCATAACACAGGGAAAAACTCTATTGTATTGCCACAGGCTGAAACTCTTGCCCAGAAGTTTGTTCTTTGGTATACGTTCTCATGAAGTCAGGATACTTTATACCCATCACCATTACTGGAAAAACAAGTCTATAACCATCTGGGAGTACATTTAGCAAATGTCAGCTCCATCATAACTAGAAAATTCATCACTACTAACCAGCAGAAAATACATCCAGACGTATTTGCATTATGTGATGAGATCCATAGTCAATTTGATATAAAACCTATAATCATATGGTTTTCTCAAGAGCTCGACAGGGTACTGAAGTTTTGCTGAGAAACCAAAAGAACAGCCCTGACCCTACCAACTTGACTCATGTGGTTGGTAGTCTGGATGTTATAGGAGTTAAATTTCACCTTTGGTGTGAATACCTTAGACTGAAACCAGCACCATGTGAGTTCCCATCCATGTGTTTTTGTACAAAATGAATCACTTGATGAGAAACAGGAACTCACTAATAAAGGCTGTTTTTGTTAATTACACATAGAGTTATAACTAGAATGGGGAGAGCAGGGTGTTATTTTAAACCAATTTGATACTACATTGAGAGCATAAATAGAAAATTAAAAAACTTTAAATTGTCCTTGACCCCATGTGCACTGAAATGGGGTAAGTATCCCAGGTGCTCTTGATTAAAAGCACTCAGAATCTCTTCTACTTAGATAAAGCAATTTTTTATGTAGTTAATATTAGCACAAATCCTTTTTCTGCTTGCCTGCTTCCTAGCAACCTGAAGCAGACTATCTGCTTGCCAATTTGCTTTTGATAAAAAATAAGAACAAAATACCCAGTGAATTTGCCAATAGCCCCGAAGAGATGGGGATGTGTTCAATAAGCTTTATGTTGATTTTGTGAGTCTGGTATGTGATTTATGTTGTCAACTGTCTGACCTTGCTGCACTCTACCACAGGCCAGGGAAGATGTGATCCACATGCTGAAGACAGAGAAAACCAAGCCTGAGGTTCTAGAGGCTCATTACGGGTCTGCAGAGCCAGAGAAAGTGCTGCGAGTCCTGCACCGAGATGCCATCCTAGCCCAAGAGAAGTCTATAGGAGAAGATGTCTATGAGAAACCAATTTCAGAGGTAAAAATACCACATCAACAAGTTTCCCTATTTAAGGGTACCTCAGAGTGATGGCTTCACATTCTTCCATTCTACATGCTTTAACATTCTTTCAAAGGCAAAATTTTTATGATACACTAGTATAGAATTAAAGTGTAATTAAATAATTCATGAATTATAGTGGATACATTTCAATGATAAGAATTTTAGAAGCATTTCCTTAAATATACTTAAAGCCTGAACCATACTTCTCATGTGATTATGCTAGTTATAAGCTCTTGCAGTCTTGTTATTCTTTTATTTCTCTAAGAGATGATATGTGTAAAAAATTTGAAGTGCTTATCAGTTTTGGCATTGAGTTGTCAGGAGCATTATCAAATTGATAACCTAAATTTAAGTTGATTATTGATATTATATTGATGGAAATTTTATTATTGATATTTATAAAGGTACTGTGTTTTAGTATCTTATAGACTCGGTCATAATTAAAATGGTGTCATGTGAGTAACTACAATGCAATGGCTGAGGTAAAATACCAATGGAATACTTAGGGCAATTCTTTAAGATGAAAGGAGATCTAATAGGGCTATATTTAATCATCTTTATATAAGATTGTATTAGGAACTATTTACTATCATTATTAATTTCCCATGATACTACATGTTAAAAGTATTCTCACTTTGTAATAGAAGTTTGAGGCTGATTTAGGGAAACAATTGCTAGATCTACCATACTCACTTCAGAATTTATGTAAAAAAATTCAGAGATGTGAAATTAGTACCATAAATGAAAAAAAGAACACAGAAATGAAAACTCTGAAGCAATTTATTGTAATGTAACTTTTATCTTATGTCAAGCCTTTGTAGATCAGTTTGACAGATCTCAGATAAGATCTGCTTTAGATGATATTCACAACAGATTGATGGTCCTGTAATTACCTAATTTCTACAAAAAGGTTAACCTCGAGCTCTTGTTTTCATCTTTGTCGTCTAAAATGTTAAGAGATGATTTATGAGGTGATGCAGTCAACTGGCTGGATCCACTTACGTGTCTGGAGAGTCTTGGTTACCAGCTAGCTGCATATGGCTTTGGGCGGGTCACTTCAGCTCTCTAAGCTTATTTCCTTATCTGTTAGGTGGGAGTAATCACAGTGTGTATCTCCTAAACTTGTTGTGAGGATTATATGAAGCAATGCCTGTAAGGCTCTTAACACAGTGTCTGGTAAATCCCACATCCTCAATAAGTATTAGCCATTAGCATTTGCTGGATTTGAGTGTGATATTTGCTCACACCTTTAACTAGTGTCAAACTTGGAGGGGTTGAAGGAGTAAAAGACATAACAAGGTCAAAATATTCATTAAATATTATTATTATGATAATCACCCAGATTGGAGAACTCAGTTTGGATAATTGATATCATTTAGATTTTCCTAATTCTTTTCTCCTAAGTTAGAGCTTGGGGTGACACCTCAAAGGAGAGATAGGTCTGAAAGCACACACACTTACCCAAAAGCACTGCTTCTAACCCTCTGAGTTTTATGGAAAGTACACACAGAAAAGTGTTTCTGACCTACCTTCAGAAGGTAGGCCTAACCCAAGTGTTCCTATCTCATGAACAGAGGAGTGGAGCAGAAAACACCTAACCTGTGGGTGGTCTTTTTAGAACTGGCTTAGCTAGGCATGCTTTTTGGTTTCTTTCTCTCCTCAACTCACAATCTGAAGAGTTATCCCTCACTTGGGAAGGAGTGAGTGAGGAGGTAGAGAGAAGGACAGAAGCTACTTTTCCCAATATTGACAAAAAGTGAGGTCCTGCTTTGTGGAAGAAATAGAATGCTAGAAGGAGAAAAGATTTATCTTCTACCATATTAGGATTGGGATTAGACACATTTGTGTCTACCATATTAGACACAAATTTTGTGTCTCCTGATCCTTTGGACTTAATAATCAAGTTGTCATTAAGCAGGAGCCAGAATCCTTCTTCCAACTTCATGAGAAATGATCCCAATACAATCACAATACAATTAGCCTCCTGCGACCATGAGTGGATAATCTAACTCTTGTTCTTAGATGCCATGCTGCATGCACCTCAAACCCAAAAATCACTGCTTATTTTAATTTCCATACCAAATTAGGACCAATGAAGTTATCCAATAGAACTCACCAGAGGTTAAGCAATAAACCCCATGTGGTGGACTCCCTGTCTTTCCAAAATCTGGGGAAAAATCAAGCAGCAAATATTAAATCCCCCTGAGCTTCTTTATGAATTAAAGTCCAGGATATCAAAGTTCAAAATTCTTTTTTTTTTTAATTTTTATTTATTTATGATAGTCACACACAGAGAGAGAGAGAGGCAGAGACATAGGCAGAGGGAGAGGCAGGCTCCACGCACCGGGAGCCCGACGTGGGATTCGATCCTGGGTCTCCAGGATCACGCCCTGGGCCAAAGGCAGGCGCTAAACCGCTGCGCCACCCAGGGATCCCAAAGTTCAAAATTCTTATGCAAAATTCCTAAAAAATCAAGGTTTCAGTTTCTTTCCTTCCCAGTTCTTATTCTACTTAGCCTTAGCCAGAGGGACCTTAATCTTCAGCATTTTCAAAGTTTAACTACTACATCCTAAAGTCCCCCTGACCCCCTTTTATCAAAGAGTCTAAAGAATTATTAGAACACATGCAATTATCATGATACCAACCTCACATGCCTAAATATTAAAAATACAAGAAAATCTTTGGTTCCACAGTCAGTTTATCTCAAGCAAAATGACCCAATATAATCCACGCCCATGTTACTCTTAGCAAGATGATGATCTCATTTAATTTTCCTTCTACCTCTGTTCAAGTGGGAGCTGTATTTCTAAAGTAGTAGGTTCCCATTTCACTTTCACCATTCATTAATAAAAGCAACCATTCCTCTATGGTTGAACCACAGTTTGGATCCTAAAAACCAAAAGTCATGGACACAGTGTACAGGATTAATGAATCTACAGAGCCCATAGTTATGGAGATGGTCTTCAGAGCCTCTAGACAAGCCACATAGATCCAAGAGAGAGGTTAGCCCACCTAAGTTCTCTCCTGGAAGCTCTATGTAGTTCCAAACAAAATAACAAGAAAAAGAGTATCATACAGCTGATTTCTTGCTACCTATGTTGGTTTTTACATCTGAAATTTAAAATTGAAAGCTAAATCCTCACACTCTAATGCTTTATTGCTAAAGAGGAATTTGTGACCTCTGCAGTACAAGTCTGGGTCTGCAGTTTAGTGCGAAAAACACAGTGGCATGCCAGTGTAGCAGCATCCTTTCAGTGCATTAAGAGAGAAAAGACTGTTTTCCTGATTATGTGATCAGTGCTGGGGTCAAGCTGTACTAGTGTAGTTGAGGGGAACATTGCTTACTGAGACCCCAGCAACTGCTCCAGTGAGCCAGCCTCAGGACTGTAGCTGCTGAGAACAAACCAGTCCCAAAGCCCCACATGGACAAGACATACTAAAGCTAAGGTCTCCATTCTCCATGGGCTCCCTTAGAATACTCACTATCAACATAAGCTGTATTTCTCCAGATGCCCTCACAGTGTCTATTTTTCTGAGTATCTTAGCTACTCTATGAATAATGTCCCCATCTTTCTCTCCAGAGTTCTTCAAAGAGATTGAGGAGTAACTACAGGAGTTGGATAGATGAGTTAAATAATTAGTTTTATTATTGATCTGAATAGATAGATGAATACCACCGGGCTTTCTATTGCTTTCCCTTCTAGACTTTGGAGAAACCACTTGAGGGGAGTTTGGGCCTTCAGAGCACAATGGACCATTTTATGGCAGGCAGAGCAAAAACTAAGAAATGAAAATGCTGAGCTGCTTATTAGTTCCCTATCCCAAATACGACTATCTTTTTTTTTCTCCTTTTCCTTGTCTTGCTTCTTAAATTCTACATATGAGTGAAATCATATGGTCTTTGTCTTTCTCTGAATGACTTATTTCACTTACCATTTTATTCTCTAGCTCTCTCCACATTGTTGCAAACGGCAAGATTTCATTCTTTTTGATGCCTGAGTAATATTCCTTTGTATGTATATACCATATCTTTATCCATTCATCAGTTGATGGACACTTGGGCTCTTTTCATAGTTTGGCTATTGTTGATAATGCTGCTATAAACATTGGGATGCATGTGCTCCTTCAAATCAGTATTTGTATGTGCTTTGGGTCAATACCTAGTAGTGCAATTGCTGGGTTACAACTTTCAAATAAGTCACCCCTCCTTCCTTAGGGAAGAATGGGGGAGGGTATGAAGAAGCAGGCAGAAGCTACTCTTCCAAATACTTTCAAAAAGAAAGTGGATCCTACTTCATTCATGATAAAGTAGAAAGGATCAAAAAAGGGAAAGAGTTGCTCTTTCTACATTGATGATGATGATATTTTAGAAATACTTGACAAATTCTATAATATATGATGAAAATCACATAGTAGGAAGATGGAAAAGTTCCTGGAGAGAATATTTTATAATAGGAAGATATTCCCATGAAGGAAATCTTTTGTACAAGCTGCCCCTTTAAGATTATAGAAATTTATCAGAACACATAAAAGTACAATTTGCCAATTCCTAATGGTATCAAATATTATTAGCCACCAATTAACCTGGCGTTCTCTACCAGTCTGTCTGGTCACCAGCTCTTACACAAAGGGATGGAGATCTGGTCAGAAATGCTGAGGATTATGTGGGTGATGGTATCTCTTTTTTGGGGCCTCCATTCACAATGGAGATCCCATACAACTACAGAGGGAACCTCAGATCATCCATCTGACTAAGGGACAAATATGGAGAACCAGGGGAAAAACTCTGATGCTGATACCACATGGAATTACCGTGTTAGATTTCAGGGAATAGGTTGTGGATTGAGAATGAATTTTAAATATGTCCGTTTCAACTAAAGCAAGGTTCTCAAGGGGTGATGGTAGAGGTGATTTGCCCTCCAAGGGACATTTGGCAGTGTCTGATAATAGGTTTGTCACAGTTGAAGGTGGTACCACTGGCACCTATGGGGCAAAGGCCAAGGATGCTACTATATACCTTCCAGTACACAAAATAGCCACTCAAAATAAAGAATTATTTGGCCTGAAATGTCAATAGTACTGAAGTTGAGAAACCCTAAACTATAGTTTGAAGAGGAGAGTAGGATGGGGAACTGTCAATATTGCAAGATTTGGTCCAATTTAACAAACATTTACTGAACACTTACTTTGTTCTAGGTTCTGTGCTTGGCAGTAGGAACTAAATACATAATCAAGGCACACCTTAAAGATCTTGGAACCTGGCCAGAGAGATACCACAAAAAGTCCTGTAATAGGGGCAACTGGGTGGCTCAGTCGGTTAAGCATCAGACTCCTGATTTTGGGCTCGGGTCATGATCTCTGGGTCATGAGACCCAGACCTGTGACAGTCTTCACACTCAGCAGGGAGACTGCTTGACATTCCCCTCCTCTCCCCACCCACTCCCCACCCCCACTGCTGGGCTCATGCTCACATGCTCTGATAGATAGATAGATAGATAGATAGATAGATAGATAGATAGATGATAGATAGATAAATAAATATTTTTTAAAGGTCCTGTAATAATATTTGACAGCATCTCTTTTAGTCCGAGATACACCTTCCCTGTTAAGCTCTGAAATCCCCCTAAAACTTAGCATATCTTGAAGAGAGAGGACCATAGATCCTTCCTATAGTTTTCCTAGAAGTGCATGTAACTGCAAATCTTTAAAAAAAGATTGTGTTGATGGTAATGACTTCTCAGGGGAGAAGTTTGGTACAGGTACATGCTGAGCTCTTAATTTTTCTGAGAGCAGGAAGGCTATTATCCTCTTTCTTCCTAAGCATAGGGTTTTGTGCCATCTCACGGAAATGGTGAAAGAGTTTATTCTCTCAAAAGTTTAGAAGCTGTACCATCTGTTCACAGAAAAAGGGCTAGAAGGCCAGAAGTTACCACAGCCTTATTTTGGTTAGTTTACAAAGCCAGCTGGCCAAGACAAAATGATGGAACGGGGAAGATGACAGAGAACACCAGACTCAATGTTCTCTCCTTCAGATAATAAATCAGTAGACTAATATAATATTTGGAGTCATATGCAAATCAAATAAAATATTAAGCTCGCTCTCATGTTTGTTTACTCAGCTGGACAGACTCGAGGAAAAACAAAAAGAGACGTACCGGCGCATGCTAGAGCAGCTGCTGCTGGCAGAGAAGTGCCACAGGCGCACGGTGTACGAGTTAGAGAGCGAGAAGCACAAGCACACTGACTACATGAACAAGAGCGACGACTTCACCAACCTGCTGGAGCAGGAGCGGGAGAGGTAATGTGCACACATGCCACCAGGCACACTGAGATGCCTGCAGTCCTTTTGCCTCTGCGCCTCTTGTCAAGAATCAACCTAGCATCCAGCGATATCGCAGACAGGTTCCAACTCTGATTTTCGAGGGGCTTGTGATCTCAGCAGCTTGTAGAAAGTGAGACAGACTTTCACCTGGAATTATCCATGGGAACAGGTTTGGGGGTGCACAGGAGTGGGACACCAGATTCCCTGTAGGATGTTCAAAGCCAAATAACTGTACAGCTGGAAACAAACCCAGGGAGCTTCTATATGATCAGTGAAGCATCTACATTTGCAAAGCCTCTCTACTCGTGTCCTTCTATGGGAAGTAATCTACTTCTACTTCCTGAGTAAGTGGTTGAAATCCACTGATTCAGGAAGACAAATTATTAAGCTTAAACATTTAAAATGAATCCTATTCCTTCGTAATATCACAATTTCACAACAGAAAATCTTTGGCTCATATAAATTTGTATAAATTGATATTTGGTTTATTTGGTTTGTATAAATTGCTCAATGACTAGAACTATCTGCTTTCTAAGGATCACGTAAATTCAGTGAAAAAGAAACAAAAACAGAACCAACACAAAATTTAAAAAAGCTCTGCATGTTGAGCATTGATATCTGTCCTGGCAGGTGGGTCTCTCAGACTGGGGATCACCGCATTTGAAGTAGACTCCATCTTGAGAACCTGTGTAATTAACTCTTCTATGCACACCAGTTTTTTCAGCATCTTCTTTTTTCTTGTTCTTTCCCTTTTCTTTCCTCGGCTGAATGGTTATGTCTGAATTCCACAATCTTTGAAACCAGTGACATTCAATCCTGATGCTTTGAGTTACCAAGTGTGTCTGCTTCTGTGTTTAGGACTTGCAAATTAAGAGCCACCTGGGAACAGCTTTACTAATCCCAGCTTTATTGTATATTTATAGTTACAAGAAAGAGATCTGGTTTTCCAGGATTAGTTTGTTTATAAGAAAAAGCTGTCATAGTAAGAGTAAATAAAAGCATGAAGCAGAACAGGTTTTTGTTCAATTTTTAAAAAAATATTGGTAATTTTAAAAACTATTGGTAATTTTTACTTATTGGATTTGGCACATCCCTTGGGGAAGAAGTTTCTGGAAAAGAGAACAAAGTTCTCTTTCCTGAAGTGTCATGTACAATACTTTCAAATTCTTTAAACCTGTCTTCTGTTCCCATAAACTCAGGTTTATCAGCTTCATGCTTGAACAAATGAATGGTCTAATTTGTCATTTTTTGGGTAACCACACAGTGAGAATAAACTCCACTTCCTCAGTCTCTATGAACTTTCCACCCTCAAGCACAGATCTTGAAAACAAAGTTTGATTGACAGTGTAAATTATGAATATTTACAACAGCCCTCTGGTTAGGTGTTCTGTGTTAGAATGTGGTCAGGTAAAAGAGCAGTAGCTTGTTTGATAGTGACTTCTTAAAAGATCTGAAATCAAATAATTTTAAAGAACACCTGTGTGGATTGTTTTCCAATCATGTTGTAAATTATTTGATATAGAACCAGACACACTTGTCTTTTCTACAGTTTCCCATGTAAGCTAAATGCCCAAGGTGGCACTAGTTCACGTACAGAGTTGTTAGCTTATTTGTTTTTATTTTAAAAGAAATTTTATTTAAATTCAATTAATTAACATATAGTGTATTATCAGTTTCAGAGGTAGAGTTCAGTGATTCATTAGTTGCATGAAGTGCATAGATGGAGAAACTGTATTATCCAGATCCAGACTGTTTCCTTTTCTTTCTTTTTCTGTCTTGCTAATTTTTGTGTTCTGTGTGAGTAATTGAAATCATAACACACGATGAAGAGCTTTATAGTTCACAAAGTACTTTTATATTATACAATGAGCCTACTCCAGATGTGTTTATTTACTAACTTCAGGTTGATCAACTCTATCTAGATGAACACTTCCAATCCTCTGTACCCTTTTGGAGTGTCTGATTTTACTAAAACAACTCCAGCAACCGTTTCTCCTGAGCAAAGCACTGTGTGGAGGGTTCTCAAAATTGAAGTAAATATTTTTTTTAAATTATCTTAACATGCTTTTGATACTTTGATCTGTAGCACTACTAGGATGCTTCAGCAAACTTTCATGTCTTAGGAAAGAATTCACTAAGAGACCTTTGATACTCACTTACATACCAAACCCCCTTAAGGTTTTGAAATCATATTTTTGACTTAACAGGTTATACCTTAGTGCTTTATATTTTTTGTCTTAAATGTTTTTCCCCTATCAGTCCTCTGATTGACCACCAGTGCACAGTCTGCGGTGGGCACGCCCTGTCAGACACCCCTTATACTAAATCAAACACCCCCACTAGGACCCTGATCCTGATAACTTAAGTTGGAATCCTTGAATTTCTCTGTGACCTGAGGAGTCCACCATGACTGGCTTGCTGAGTTCCCCAGGGCGGTGAAGCCTAGAGGATTTTCTCAAAGGTCAGGCCAGGGGTTCCTGCTGCCCTTTGGAAACTACCCTGCTAAATCTGCTTTGGGTTAAATCCTCTTTTTGAAGTAAGCGGTCATAATTAGATCTACTTAAGGGAGCTGGCAGTTTGTTGACCCCTGAGGCTTACTTTCCCCTCCCCCAGTCGCCTGGGAGCATTACCACCTCAGGCTCCTGCAGGGGATGCTGGGTTGCGTATACAGAACCCACATTTCTAAGCCTGAGTGGGAGTCCTTCTGTAAGCCAGTTCAAGTCCTTTGTTTCCTTCTTTGTTTTGCACTCCCTTCCCCTTCTCCAGAAAAGTCCCTTTGGTGAGGGGAAAACAAAAAGCCAAGAACTTTACTTCGGAAACAGTTCCCTTTGTTTCTACTGTTGACCATGAGTAAAGGAAGGAAGAAAGTGAGATTTGAGATAAGCCGAGTGGTTTGCTTCATACAATCTTACCCAACTTCTCCTGCTGAACGTGCAACTCTGCAGGCCGTCTCCACTCCAGATAGCTTTTCATCTGGTGGTGGTGGGGTGATGGAGGGGTGCCAGCTAGGTGACTTTCTGACTTTCCCCACCGGGGTAGCATCTAGGCGTGGTTCTCTGTAATTATTCTGCTAGAGTTTTTCATTTCCTGTGGAGAAATGGTTAAAGATAACAAAAGGGACCCAGGTATACAGGAGCAGGAGTTGCTAAGCAATCCAAATTCAGATACTCGAGACTAGGAATCTGAGGCTCAGAGCACTGCAAAGGATTTATGAGATCAGTCCCTTTAAGTCCTTCATTCTATGGGTAGAGAAATTGAGGCCCAGAAGAATTATGTAGCTCAACTCAGATCATGGTGCACAGTGGTCTAACACTTTTGTGCAAATGAGTCCCTTGTGCAAAATGGCTCTTTTGTTTTCTCTCTCTGTGTGTGGGCTCCCCACCTCCCTGCTCTTAGGGCCAAACTATGACATAAATTCTTAGAAGGCAGAATGATGGTTATTGGAAGGATATAAATAGAGATATTCAGACAAGTGGTGTCTCTAGACTGTCAAGATAGGATCTATTGGAAAAAGCAGCCTGGGGACTTGTTTGGAGCTAAGTTTGAATAGTATACACAATGCTCTACCTTGGTTGGATTCTGTTTGAGGCAGTTATGATGGGAGACTGGTGATGGTTATGAGGGGCTAATTAAAGCCCCCCTCCAAACTACCTCCTTGTTATTGCCACTGACCTAGACCCTGCAAGTATAAAAATAATAGAAGCAGAAATTATTTTTAACTTTTAAGGAGTTGTTAAATTCATTTTACATAAAAATTCCACAAATTAAGAACCTGAAATGGTCAATATACTGTTCTCGGCTTCCTTTATTCAAAGTCAGCAGACTGTGATCATAATTTATTACCATCATTTACTGCATATTTATTTTTACAAATAGTCATATTCCCAAATTAAAAAGAGGAAATGGCATGGAAAAAATGCATTGCTTAACCAGCATTGTTAATAATAAAGCTGGAAATATCGTTCATTGCGTTAGTTAAAAATGGGTAAAGAAAACTCCCTTTCTGAATGCTACATTGTTTGGTCCATATTTTAAGTCAACTTGACCTTTAAAGGCTTGATTCTGAGCACATGAGATCACCTTCAGCATTTATACTTTATTCTCTGTCTGAACTGCAAGACTTGTGATTTTATTTTTTTTTTTATTTTTATTTTTTTTTAAATAGGTTTTTTTTTTTAACTTTTATTTTTTTATGATAGTCACAGAGAGAGAGAGGCAGAGACACAGGCAGAGGGAGAAGCAGGCTCCATGCACCGGGAGCCCAATGTGGGATTCGATCCCGGGTCTCCAGGATCGCGCCCTGGGCCAAAGGCAGGCGCCAAACCGCTGCGCCACCCAGGGATCCCAAGACTTGTGATTTTAATCTTAAGCTTCACTCGGGGTGCTTCAAGAATGTCAAAATAGAACACAATTACATCAAAAAGTGGTCTGAAGCTTAAAGAGAATATTTGAGAGGTATGTGTGTTTGTGTGTGTAAATGACGTGGGGGAGTGCTGTCTAAATCTATAACTGCAGATATAGATTTTAGAGCTTTTGGCTTCTATAGGCTCAGCCACGACTACATAAATAATTACATCATCATATAATATTGCAGCAAGCCTTCCAAGCATAAGTTCTTTTTTTTTTTTTTTAAGTACAAATCAGCATCTCAAGAGAAATCTCTTAACTTACAAAGCAGAGAATGCAGGAAGAGGGGCTTGAATGGAAGGGAAGCTTTCAAGCCCTATTTTGATCAACATGGAGAGGAATGGGCTTTGCCTGGTGGCTTGTGGGACAGGCTGCACTATTATACTTGCCTATGCTGGGAAATGACCAGGCAGGGCAAGTTTTCAAAAAGCTTCCATAGTGGCCTGGAGTCCTGGGAAATAATCCTAGCCCACTTAATAGAAAAAAATTCACACTTGGTTCCCTGGCATTATACCCATTAAGTCTTCTTTTTTAGATTTAAATGCCTTATCTCTAAAATATGGCAATAA